ATGAAAATTTGTTTTCTTAACATTGAAATATACAGTTAACGTTACGAAAATTTTAATGTACATCAGTAAATTATACACATCCGACAGTGTCTGCATAGTCATAGCTGTAAAAAAATAACGCACCGTATCTTAGACAGCCACACGGCTTTGTATACTATGCCTTTTAATTACATTGATTTGATAGTTCGTAAAACAGTTTTGGTACTAGTTGAACATGTAGCATGAATGGGTTAAATCGACCGGGTTAATCGGCCTTCGCCTCGTTCTTTCAGTATTTTTACCTCTCAACCCCCTAGTGGTCTCATGAGACCGTGGCCGTATTCCATCAAATCCCTAGCGGTCTCATGAGGTCGCACCCACCCGCAGCACTTTAACCCACAACAACTTATATATAGAGACCACTTTTCCAGGAAGAAGTCTTGTATTATATAATCAATATAAAATACTCTATCCTCTAGTGCAATAAAAAAACTGTTATCCTATGATAAGATTTGCCGGGCGCATTCGACTGCATGGGATTTTTATGACGCTTGAAGGGTTAATTTTTTGTTAAATATTCTCAGAGTTTTAGTAGTTTATTAATCTGTTTTGCTAGAAACTAATTTCGTCTAAATATCACAAACGTTGCCAAATTTCTACAACGTAACGGATTTAGTATGGATAGTCAAACTCTTCAACGATCGCTCCAAGTGTAGAGAGATGTTACACGCGTCGGAAAGTTGAACGGAGCTAAACCGGTCATCGGCGGTGGCAACGGTAAATTGACACCACGCTAAAGGAGTGTAGCTAGCCAAGTTTTATTCACACCTCTATGTATCAGACTTTTAAATTTGATAAGAATGTAATTTTAAAATTAATCGTTCGTTCTTTTATTTTCTTTTTCTCTAGACAATAACATAAGAGATAACATTTTTGTAATACAATATCATATCTACTGCCATAACCCTATGTTTTGTTTTTTTTATTTCTGAGCAGTTTTAAATTTGTCTTATATATATTACACAGTAATATAATACAATAAATTTTTATATGAAAAGAGAATCAAATTCTACACACACGTATCTGGTGTAAAACACATGAAATACTTTTTGAACATAATTTTTATTTTTCATTCAAAAACATTATAGGCATTTTTCAAGAAACACGCCATAAATATTATTGCTAAATATATTTACAACTATTCTTTTAAGAACACATTTACTTCGCATTTGTTTTATTACTTAAATCAAAACATAAAATATGCACTCGGTGACTACCAAGACTTATATTTTAATATTTATTTCACACTGGCAATCAATTTAATTTACGTCAAATTAAAAATATTGCTGAATGCATAATGCTATTGCACAGTTAAAATAAAATTAATGAAATATAGATAATACCTTCTTTCCAATATTTACGATTCATGAGCAGATCTTTGTACAATTTTAAATTTACGTCTAAGTCTTATTATTAAGTAGTGAAGAAGTTTTAATTTTAATATATTTTTATCAAAATGCTTAGTACATCATTAATGTTTTATTTTTATTTTTCGCAGCCTTTTATGTCTTCATGCCTTTTGTCGTTTGTAACGTACCTCCAAAGTATTATTTAATGTAAATAAAGCATATATTATAATAGGCCATTTTAAACCCCATCTATAATACAAGTTATTTCAAAAGTTTTTAAATTAGTATCCATATTTTTCGAGTTAGCGGCACGTAAATGTCAAAAGACTTTCATTTTTTTACAGATAAAACACGTTTCAAAGACTATAATAAGTTTTAAAGGCGAAGTTATATTAACTAGAAATAGACTATGCTATAATCTGTACGTGCTTTTTCTGGTGCTCTCTCGGTTCTTTTAAGACGTATGATGTAGTTCGCCGCAGGGAACCTGCAGAATCTGAAAGATACCAAATATACAATTTAAATGATTTTACATAGTGTAAAACATATTCTGTCAAAATCATGAGTACGAAAACTGAGCTAATTCAGTATAAGTGACGTATGGGTATACGGCTTCATCAAAAAAAAAGTTTAAATCTGAACCAAGCCAAGCACCATAATAGTTACTTAAATCATATGATCTGTATGAATTTATAACGTTTCTATTATCTAGATGTTAGTGCTGTTAGTCTATGCGACTCTTACAGCTTCATCTTGTCTCAGGGCTAATTAAAAAGGGAAAGGCAATGAGGTGAAAATGATGATGAGATGGTTTATGATTTGATATTGTTACCAATCATCATGTCGCCTTTTAGGCGTTTTCATTGAGCTACCTAACCGCAGTCCGAGGGGGGGTGTGCGGACCCCCGTCTCTGACTGCTCAGCTCGTGTCGGTCGATGGTCTGGGCGGGGATAATCGTCCAGGAACGCGGGTGTACGGTGTGTACGCGGTGTGAGCTGGAACGCGTCGTGCCCGTCTGCGGGTGCGACGCGTCCCATTCGTTGTCCTATTGGTGTTTGTCCCATTTAGTGTGGGTGTAGTGTCGTTGTGTGATGTGCCTGCGACGCTTGGGTCGACTGGATCGAGCGGTAGAGGTGGTTCTATCAAAACATTTCGCGGTGTACGGAGATGAGGGCGCGACGTTTGTTATCGGAACGTAGTTAGCTGCGTTTGTCACTAGCGGGTTAGGGTGGGTTTCTACTCTATCAAAGTAGCGTTGGGACATTTCCTTAAAATATTCGGAGATAGATGGTAGTTCACAATTATTGTGTAAATCAGAGTTCCGTTGATACCACCGTGCACCGGTGGCTTTTCGGATGAAAAAGTTTTGTACTCTTTGGAGTTTTAAAATATGGGTCTTATATGTATGGGCGAAAGCTACACTTGCATAGGACATAACTGGTCTAATGCAGGTTTTGTACAGCCGGAGTTTGTGTCTTAGCGACAGCTTACTCTTGCTGTTAACGAGGGGGTGTAGACGGCCAATTATTGACTTGGCTCTGTTGCGTACTACACTTATGTGCGTCTTGAAACTCATGCGGGAGTCGAAAGTAACGCCTAGATATTTGGCGGATTTTTCTCAAGGGATTGGGTGGTCGTAGAAAGAGATTGTTTTGGGTTTAGAACCTCCTGTAGAATTCCGTTGAAAGTATACTGCTACACTTTTTTCGGGATTCACGTCAATTCTCCATAGGCGGACCCATTCACCAAGGCGATTGGTCGCTTTTTTGGAGCTTTATAGCGAGTCTATTTTTGTTGGGGTCTAAAACAAAGAGTGCCGTATCTTCGCAAAGAGAGCGGTGTTCACTACGGGGTCTTTTGGGATATCACTCGTGAAGAGTGTGAAAAGGAGTGGAGATAGTACGGAGCCCTGTGGGACCCCGGCCTTGAGGAAACGTATCGAAGAACGAGATCCCTCCACTCGATATCGAAAAGTGCGATTCGAAAGGAAAGCTCGTATGATGTGCACGAGCCTATCGGGCACGTCTACTTTGTACAGCTTGTAAATCAAGCCGTCGTGCCAGACCTTGTCAAACGCCTTCGCGATATCGAAGAAGAGGGCTCCCGTGTTCCAACCTTTTTTCCTTAACGGGTTTTGGCTGAAGCCAGACAGAATGTATTCTGTTAGGCGATGAATCTGGTGAGTGCATGAGTGATTGGCTCTAAAGCCGAACTGTTCGTCTGGAAGGAGTCCGTTAGCTTAGGTGAAATGACGGAGACGCTTATGAATAAAGCGCTCGTATAGTTTGCCCAATGTGTTTATAACGTTTTATTAAACTATTCTAAGTAATACGTATTCTAACTTAGCTACTATTCCACTGGTGGTAAGCGATGATGCAGTCGAAGATGGTGAAGTACCCTAATTCGATTACAAAAGCCTATTCACTCTTGTCTTGATGACATTAAAATTATATTCGGATTGAAAGACAAATGCTGTCAACTTAATTACATTCCCTTGCTATAGGCATATATGCCCGTTTTTTCGAATGCGTGGTAAGTCAACAACGAGAGGGTGGAGATTGGCAGAGCGTCTGAACTCAGAATTACATGATCACTACACCAATGAGTATGCTCTGACTTTGGCCACCATTTTAGACGATAGAAGTTCGGCATAATGAAATGTTGCTCTCGCAGCGAAAAGAATCAATGAGGATTTCCCTACGATATAAAAAACAACAACAGTCTTGACGTCGTTGGTCTTTACAACTTGACAGTTTAATATTATTAATTGTGTGAAGGCCTGCATTGCACCTGGTGTTGCAGATGTTCATGGGCGACGGTGATCACTTATCATAAGGTGAGCCGTACGCATTGTTTCCTCTTCCATAAAAATTAAGTTTACTACTATGGTTATTGACTATGGTTGGTTATTATGCAAATATTGTTAAATTAGGTTTATTTTACTACTAAGGAGTATATAATTGATAATAGCCCCTGTGAATTAGGCGATCGCTACCATGTAGTTTCTAAATAGTTTCATACTATATATAATATATAATGTATAAATATATAAAAAAATATTGCCGCTGGGTTTCTTGTTGGTTCTTCCTAGGATAGAGGTTTTTTTCCGAAGCAGTGGTAAAACTTAAAAGACTTTCAATTAGGTTTTTTATAGAATAAGAGTGACACACAAGCACACAGTCTACTTAATGGTAAGTAGACGCTGTGACCCAAAGACAAATTTATCTTTCATTAGAAATCAAAATACAGATGCGTTGTCACTCCTGAGGACTAAGGTAGAATCCTTCGTTTCCAGTAAATAGGATCTCTGATTCTTTACGCTCACCGCACAAATCAGAGAAGCATCAAGATGTTATTCCGTAAAAGCGTGATCCTTCGAGCCGACACTTTCGTGCATCAACCATAATATAGCTGCAGCGTGGCTCTACAATGCTCAATAATTCTTGTGAGCTATTTTGAATAAAAATTATTCTACTCTCTTCTATACTATTCTAGTCATACTTACTATAGTGCGTGCACGCACGCAGCGGGCGACGTGGTGCGTGCGAGGGGGAGGCTGTGGAGGCGGCGGGGGAAGTAGGCGCAGACGCCGGCCCGCGCCGCGCCCCGCGCTACGACCATCGCAACTCCTTCAGCTCCACCGTGCACGGGTCCGCCATCTGCACAGTTCCCGTTATCATTACAGCTTATTAAAGTCCAATCCTTAATACAGGTCTCCCCCATAGATTGCATCATAAGAAGTATTTTTACCACGCCTGGTTGGGTTAGTAACCACTCTATTTTAAGTTAAGTCGTTATTAGGAAGACGCTGCTGCCCATCATCTAATTCGTTTCCTTCTGTCGTCTTTTACGACAAACACGGGATGATATGGGGTAATAAATATTCTTACACCGTAAGCACTATACCCATACTACAATAATTAACCCTAGTGGTCACCTAGTGGTCGAAATTCAACCGGAATTCAATAAATTTTTTGGTTTGTATATCAAGCAAGCTGAAATTTACTATTCAAATGCATATCAAAATATAAAACACAGTGAATGCACAAACCATCAGTGCGTGCAATCCTGTCTAAAGGGCATAAAGAATCAATATGATTATTATTATTAATAGGCTGTGAGATATTTAACTTTAGTCCACAGACGTGACAAAGAAATAACCTCAACAAGCAATCTGTGCCTTTCTTTGTATAAAGTTGGCTGTCTACTTTGTGAGTTCGTTTATCGCTACGATATTACAAAAAAATAAAAAGAAATCAACATATTGAAATATAAATAATAAAAGTATATATAAGAATTCGACCAAGTGCATTCCATGTCAAATTAGTTACCAGTTCCGCGAAATACCCCAACCCTCAAACAGATCGGTAATCTTAAATAGATCAACTATGTAATTAATTTAAGTTTTGTGAAGAAAAATATTATTTTTTATATCAACAGTGATAGTATACTACAGTTAATATACCTAAGCAAACAAGAAACTAATTCTTCTCTTACTCTAAAGGAAAGACATAAGAAAGACAAACATAGCATCCGATCACTATATGGAATGACGATCTGGACTAAATACAGGAAGTCAATGGTTGCGAGTTACTAAGGACAGTGCTTATTGCTTTCCTTAAGGGAAGCCTAAGTTCAGCGTCGGGAAGGGTTGTAATCTGAACGATAAAGATGTGAAAAATTGTTCAATTTTTAAAGCACCAAGATGATTTAATTGTTACGAATAAATAAATAAAATTTCAATTTCAGAAATTAGCATGTCTGACATGTTAAGTCCATAAACACGCACTGAGGGAGCGTGACTGATGCTTCGTACTCCAAAATTATTTTAGAAGTGATAGAATACTTGCACCTCAGTGTTAGATATATGTAGACTGTAACTATACCATACGTAGCCAATACGCAAGTACATTTTTAAGCTATGCAACCACTAGAACGTTACGATCACGTGATATTGTACGACATGGCGGTTGGTTGCGGTATTATTCTAATGCATTATTGCAATTTGCCCGGGCGTGACCATCTTGTCTGCCTTTTCGAATTTCATCTGCTATTTAATTTGAATTTTTGAGATAAATTAATGTTTCTTGGTTAGTCGTAGATTAGTAAGTGGCATAGGGAAACAAATCCATCCACCAAAACCACTTCACCACACATTTTTGTACTTTTTAAGGGTGACAGATGAGAACAGATTTACCATATGGCTAGTGCATGCTGTGGCCTATAGACACCTGCATTTATCTTCGATTTTAAATAAAATGCAGATGCATTTCCACCCTCTCATGTTACTAATATTGAAGGGTAACTTATATCCAAACAAAAATTCCGAACACACATCTCTCAGATCTCTCAAACTTGTTGATGATTTTGATGATTGTTATGGGAATCATAACACACAGAGGAATCAAAAAGCTGAATAACTCTAGTATGGCGCAACTATGTGACATACCATCTAGGATTATTAGTAACTTAGCATCTGGAAGGTCACAAGCGCATTATATATTCCAAATGGCATTATTTTTAGATCATTGGTAAAAATGCCTAATCTTTATTTATAAAATCAATTGATATCCATCAGTCTCGGTAAAACTCAAAAACGGCTCGAAAGAATTTGATGAAAATTTATGTTTGCATTTGAGTTACTGTTAATATTCACAATTAGACCCGGTAGGTGGCGCTGCTGTTGAAATACAGAAATCACTCATACGAAGCCAGCGCGTATCGCTAGTAAGACATAAATATTCCTATTGAATATTGTCACCACGCTACAGCTATTTTATGACTGACCTGAAAGTAAAAGTTTACCTCGTATCTAGAAGGCGCTGGTGGTACGTGAGTAGCTGGTGAACACCTGGAGCATCCAGGTCTTAGCACAGTTCTTGATGAACCCCCTCTTATAGCTGCTCTTAGCTCCTATAATAAACAACAGTATTATCAACTGTCTTATTATGAGAATTGTACATATACTAAAATATAAGGATAAAAAATAATTGATTAATAATGGTAAAAATATCATAAATAAGAAATCGGTCAAGTGCATTCCATGTGAAATTAGTTCCCGGTTCCGCGGAACCGTGAACAATATACATATAATCTTAAATAATTTTCCGACGCAGAACTGAAAATCAATAGAATAAACTTACGTCTGTATTTAGGTAACCAAATTTTATGATATAAATTAAACAAACTCTCACAGGAAAACGTTGAATTCTATGTTATAGATGGATCAGTCCAAAGACAACCATCCAAGGTAATTCATATTAATTGAATTTCATATACATTTTAATATCTTTAAAACTCGTCAAAGACGAAGCTTGTCGGTTAAAATGTAACTGTTACTTTATTAAAAAAAACTTGTATAAATAAAAGTTCCATTGATTTTCAATTGAATCCTTACCTGGCCCATCTCGCTACACAAAGATTGTCGACCGTGCGATGCATTTTTCCTTGTATTCCAGCAAAATTCCAATATTGCCACAACTATCGCAAGCGCCAGTCCACACAACAGTGTTACAAACACACCACCTGAAAATATATTTTATTTTCTTTCGCCATACTACGTTATACTATATGTATTTCTCTGACTTTTTATTATAATACCCTTGAATCAAGGATTTGTTGTAACACAAATTAAAGTAGTTCATCAGTAGTTTCTCGTCGTAAAATATAAGCGTAAAACGCCTAAGCTAGCTATCTCGATATCTCTAAAGAATTTCATTATCCATCCATTACAGATTATTGTAGTAATAAAAGATTGTCCTTGAGACCGATATTTGGTCACGGCGGCCGTTTTTGTATGGAATAAGAGTGACAAACGACTACACAGTCCACCTAATAGTGAGTAGACGATGTGGTCCATAAACATCTACATTAATCCTCGATTAAAAATCAAAACGCAGATGCATTGTCACCCCTAATAGATATATACGATGGAATGCCTCGTTTTCAGTAAAAAGGGTCTCTACACTCACCATAAGAAACACAACAGTATTAGGCTGCTATTTTACGCTGGTATTTTGTGAGAGCGTGGTCCTTCCCCGGTCAAGCCGACCCATTCATGCTACAACCATAATATAAGCTGCAGTTTGGCTCTACCACGTATAAATATCTCAACAAAGATTGGCCATCAGCGCAGAAAAGGATTACAATTCCCGAGTGTATGTGCAAGCACAGGTGCACATAGTCCGATGGGACGGTAATCTATCACAACCGGAGATATATCAGGCGCAGCTCCGACGGCTTCGCGGGGCACAGGACTGCAGCACTATCAACTTCCTGATTCCGGACTACTTCTGAGAGTTACTTGAAAGATAAATTCAATAATAGTTATTTAGCTCGATGCGAGTTTCGAGTCGCGATTATGGCCACAAGAATAATAAGGCATTCAAAGCGACGAGCCTATAAAAGTCTACTGGTAAATAAAGGCCTCGCTCAAAGATTACCTTGTAGTGGGGAATTTAGCTACAGTTACACGCTTGGTAGGCGAGTTGTCAATCGAAATTTCTTTTTTATCCGAACGATACTCCTGCAAATCTCTTCTTTCAGTTCTTTGTGTAGCCTCTTACAATACCCGCAGGGTGACATGACACTGTGCATTCTGTTTCGACGCCACTACGCAGTGAAAGAATTTATTTATTTTGAAATATATATGAATGATAAATGATAATTCCTATCACAAATGGATATTTATCTACCTTGTTTAAGTTCAATAATATTCTGTAATAAAATGTTGTCACTTAAATAATAAGTTTTTTTTCATGGCAAAGGTTTTTATAGAATAATGGTGAAAAACGAACACACAGTCCACCTGATGATAAGTGGATGATGTGGCCATTAGACATCTAAATTTATCCTCGATTAAGAATCAAAACGCTGATGCGTTGTCAACCTCGAGGACTAAGATGGAATGCCTCGTTTCCAGTAAAAAAGAGCTTACGGAACTCTACACTCACCATACGAAACACTGTAGTATTAAGCTGTTATTTTACGCTTGTATTCTGTGAGAGCGTGGTCCTTCCCTGGTAAAGCCTACCCAACATGGTTCTACCACGTATAAAAAGAATTAAAAATAAGGTTTTTAAGCCGTTCACGTTGCGGTGGCTCACCACTAGATGGCGCTATTACATATCAACTATACCGTTCCACCGATCATTGAAAATTGGTATATACAGGCCTCTGCCGGTTTCTGCTAGTATACACAATATAAGGAACTTACCAAACAAGAAAAAACGAAAGCAATACTTACCAATTCGAGTTCATTTTAAGCGGGAACTACTTACAAACTAGCGCATTTACAAACTAGCCGACAAATTTTCCTGGAACTGACTTATTTCCAATACCATGAAATACCTAGCGACAGTGCTATTGTATACGAGTGCGAAAGAAACGGATAGATATTCTAATCGATCGATACGTATCTCAATCAAGGTCGGCTTTTTTACATTGTTTGTTTCGTCTCACTGGCTTTAAGTTACGCACAAAGCTTAAGAATTTTTGACTATACATAGGGTTGCCAGACGTACTTTATTTTAAAGGACATCCTTTATTTCAGATCCAAAAATTGATCTCGCCCCATAATTGGAAATCGTTAAAAGAGGACAAGGCAATACCGCGCGTATTCGACATTCTCTCTGCTAGTTGAGGTCAAAGAGTTTAAAAATTCTTTTGAAGTGACGATACGCGATGTTAGAGATACAAACGACAACCTACGTCACATCTCCGACCGTTTTTGATGAATTTTATTGTATGTTGTTGAATGGGTCCCTAGTTGGTTTAGATTCACATTTGGAACCAGTAGGTGGCGCTGATTTCGATATCTAGAAGTCACCCGTGTGAAACCGGATCGGATCGCTAGTTGCGTATAAACATTATTTTTTTATTAATAAATGTTGCTATTGATAAAAACAATGTGATATCCTTTATTTTCATCGTTTATTTATTCCTATCAAATCCTTTAAAAGGAAACGGAAGCTGGCAACCCTAACTTTATTTACTACATCACACCTTAGCTCAATGATGGACACTACAACTAAACAAGAAACTACGTGTGTAACTAACCAATATTTTGCACACCAAGCGGGTTTGCCTTGCTATCCTTCCCGTCCCTGTTGCACACGTCTCCAGTGTTCTTCCACCATTTATCGTACAGGATCTGGATCACACCCTTTTCTTGGAGATCTAGGATCGCGAGGGATATTTTGTCTCTCCACGGACTGCCCTTCCATGTCGCTATTCCGTAGCCCTGTAAGGGAAAGAAATGCTATAGTTATCCATAGTCCGCAGTTATCCATATCCATAGTCATATATATTTATCCATAGTACATCTTAGTTCTTAGTGGTGACAAAGTGTCTGTGTTTTGATTCTTAATCGGGTATAAACGTAGATGTCTATGGGCCACAGCATACACTTACCAGCAGCTGGACTGTGTGTTCGTTTGCCACCCTTATTCTATAAAAAAAGTTAAGGAATATTTCATAATATCGTTTTATATTAAATACCTAGTTTATAGTAGTGCTCGTGAATCTTCACTTTTAAGTCTGATTCTAAAACTTATTATTATTCATAGTAAATGCTAATTTTAGCATGAATGAGCTTTGTTCCCATAAACTCGTAATCGGAAAGCATAAGTTTGGTTTGACTGGACTGAGGAGAACTGAAGACAAAGATAACAATATAAACAATAAAAAGACTAAGATAACGATAAGGCATTTCATCTTTGTATAAGGCAATAACGCACCTGAATTGGTTTTTCGTTTTTTTTTTTAAATAAAATATGGATGACAAACTAGCACTCGATTCACCTGATGTTAAGTGGATGCTGTGGCCCGTAAACATTTCAGCTACTATCCTCAAATAAGAATCACAATGCAGATGCATTTCCACCCCTCAGCGCCAAGATGGGATGCCTAGCCTTCTTTAAAAAGGGTCTCCAGTTCTCTGGACTTACCATACGAAACACAGCAGTATTAAGGTTCATATGTTACACTTTAGGAATGGTCTCATATAAATTTGGAGAAAGAATCCCCCCACGCCACCTAATGGGTAGCAAATCATGTGATGAAATTTTTTATGTAACTATTTGTCGACATTGAGTTTGTGACATTATAACTTTTAACTATCTTTAAAAAACTAAAAGGTATAAAGTAATTTCACATTCTGAAGTTGGCGCTAGGTTTATATATGGATTCTTACTCGAGGGTGATGTATGACTATAAGCCAAAACATCCACCAACAGGTGTAATATGTAGTCGTTTTGGCTTCATTTTCAACCCACTTCACAAAAACGAGCAGGTTCTCAATTCGACTACATGTTCTTTTTTATGTGTAACCTATTTTAATGATACTTTTTTATTTGAAAGATAGTGATCCTCATGTAATCCAAAATAAATTTGATCAAGATCTGACCACTAGTTTTTGAGTTATACTTAATAATGCGTATTAAATTGACTTCGATTACATTGATGATGTTCTCATTTTATATTTATATTATTGAATATAAATAATATTGAAGTCGGTTGTAGAACATTTTTAATTTTACCACTTGTTTATAAAAAAATCTAAATTGAATAAACTTACCTTAGAATCCAAAAGGCCACCGATCTGCGTAAGGTTACAATCCCTTTGCACACGATGATCCAGCATCGTTGACTCCATGAGAAACGCGTAGTTACCCGCCAGCACCCTCCTCACGCCTTCTTCGTATGAGGACACGAGAGCAGGCGGAGAAGCTGTGGACATGTGCTGCCACATCTTCTGGTAGATGTCTATATTGGAATCCTGGGAAAGTTAAAATCATGCTTCATTCATTCATACATTAAATGTTGTAGAGCCGCGCTATATTATGATTGAAGCACAAATGGGTCGACTCGACCGGGGAAAACTCACACACCCTCTCACAGAATAACAGCGTAAAATAGCAGCTTAATACTGCCCCGTTTTGTATGGAAAGTATAGAGTACTGGAGACCTTCTTAGTCCTCAGGGGTGACAATGCATTTGTATTTTGATTCTTAATTGAGGATAAATATTAATAACGACTGTGTGTTCCGTTGTATATAGTCGAGGGCACGGCGGGTAGTGCATACATGTTGTGTTAATTTGGGCTTATAAAATAATTAAGCGTAGCTTTATACGTACAGACAGTATAATTCTGTTCAATAAAAAGTGACACTAGTGTTATTTACGGTGTAAAAGTAAGAAAGTGTGAATAAATTAACTTTTAAATTTATCAAAACGTAATCAGCTATTGAATGTACCCACAACAATACAAGTGTTTACATTTATGATTTAAGCGTAGTAGTGCTTGTCTTTACTCAAGTGTCTTTATATTATTTAGTTAAATTTCCTTTAAATAGTGCATCGCAGTATTGCTTAACCAAGCTTTTAAATAAATACTAAAAATATTTAATTTAACTTGATCATAACATTAGCATTGTCGCCATCTAATGCAAATTGCCGAAGCTTATAATACGAGAACAAATTAGATTAAACATGGCAAATAAGTGTAGTCATTGCGGTAAGTTCCTTTCTCAGACAGATGGCGTTAAATGTACTAAATGTTCATTAGCATACCATCGCCATTGTGTAAACATTAACCCAGACCTAAAATAAGCGCTAAATGGATGTGCAAGCCTTGTAAACCCAAAGCCTCGAGTTCGGGAGTCAATTCGATGCCGCGGCTAAGTCCAACATATGCATAAACAGAGAAGATAACCGAAAACTTCTTGGATGCAAGAGTGGAGGGTTCTAACGAAGGAATATTAACGCAGGAAATTAGGCTGCTACGGACAGAGCTAAAAACCCTATCGAGAGAAATGGTTAATTTTCGCCAGGAGATTGCGAATTTGAATACCACCGTGACGGAGTTTAATTCAAGATTAGAGACCATCGAAACCCGTGTGACCTATTAGAGCAACAAACGGAGGAAAAGAAAGTGGCACCTGCGAGTGAGTTGGTTGAAACTATTGCACAACTAAAGCGTGATCTAAATTACGAAGATCAAGCTGCTCTATTAAATGACCTGAAGCTCACAGGCCTGCCAGGACAAAAGGAGAAAACCCGATGCCTCTCCTTACTCTAGTCGCGCAAAAACTAGGAGTTGATCTGGGTTAACGCGCTGTGGTTAGTGTAGAGAGATACCCGCATCGTGATCGCGAGAATACAGCTGCTGAACCGCCGCGTCCTAGACCTATCATCATTCGCCTAGCGCGCCGTGCTATTCGCGACCAACTGTTACGCGCGGCACGTGTGCGGCGGGGAGCCGATACATCCGGGTTCAACATTAATGCTGAAATAGTGCGCTTTTATTTAAATAAAAGCCTGACGCACACTAACAAGCAACTTTTCTTTAAGGTTAGACAGGAAGCACGGCAAAATAACTGGCGTTATGTAATGACAAAAAACGGCAATATATTTGTAAGGCGTGATTCAATGTCGAGCAAACAACGAATTCATATGGAGAGTGATATTGTAAAGGTTTTTTGTGTTACTTAAATTTGATGTTTAATATACTTAAATTTTGTTTTTATCTCATTGTTTTGTATAGTTTACCTAGCCTTACCAGAGTCTTGCGTATTTAAAATATTATCAACCACATCGGCTAAGGCTGTTGTTGTACTATGCTGTTTCCTAAAACCGGATTGTTTGGTAGGATGTTATTCAAGTTTAAGTAATGCGTTAGTTGATCACAGACAATTTTTTCTAGAATTTTAGACATACATGGCAGTATACTTATTGGCCGCAAATCCTTAAAGTCCATAATATTTACTTTTTTAGGAATTGGTCTTACTAACGCCATTTGCCATAGAGTGGGAAACCTTTTTTGTAGTGAGAGAGATGTTTAAAATCTTTGTGATAGCACCTATTGAATAGGGGAGACTCGACAGTAGCATTTCCAATGAGATACCATCCACACCTAGAGCGTTTGATTTTAAATATTGAAGTATTTTTATAACAGCGTTATTGTCAGTTTGAACAAGGTCAAATATTGCAGAACTAAATCTGTTCGTCTCGTAGTAATCTATAGTTGACTGTGAGGCAGAACCCGGGACTGTGATATTAAGGAAATGATAGTTTATATTTTCATGATCGCTTAAATTAGGGGGCAGAGATGCTCTGTGGTCATTTTTTATTTTAATTTATCGTTTTATGCGGGTCCAGAGTATTTGAGGATTACTTATATTATAGTTAACGCAGGTATTAAAATAAGCAGGCTTTTCATTGTGTATAGCAATTGTAACTTGTTTTTTTAGTTCTTTGTAATAATTAATATGATAATCTAGCTTTATTAACCGTGCTTTTACGCTCGATCACGGAGACCCATCATTAATTTAACATTGTAAGTTATCCAGGGGTAATGATGTTACTTAACACATACCGATCTAAGTGGCGCAAGTAGGTTACTCGTAAAAACAGATAAAATGGCTGTGTTAAATTCGGTTACCATAGCGTTGGTGTCTGCCATATTTGTAATTGAATCCCAGTCTACATTTTCTAAAACCTGGCGTAGGCGATTCGATTCAATATACTTGAGTGGCCTATAAACTATTCTACGTGGAGGACACTTTGAAGTTATTAACCCAACTTCGCATGATATAAACGCGTGGTGGCTCAAATCGGAAATATAGTCCACATTTACTTGATTGAGGTTTACATTAGAGCTAATAAGACCTATTAGTATTTCGCTGTTATTTGCGAAATGTGTAGGTTTGTTGACATATTGTTTGAGACTGTTTATAATAAGAAACTCCTGTAATATTTTAGTGTAAGGGTTATGTTTATCAGCGTGGTCCTTCTCCGGTCGAGCCGACCCATTCGTGCTACAGCTATACATCTAACATAATTGCAGCATGGCTTTACCATCACCATCATCTATGAAAGAGGTCTATGTTCAGCATTGGACTTTGAATAAACTGTAGCGGTAAGGGTAACGGTTGGTACTTGCCGCAAGTAATAACTCTCATGAAAATACTTACCCTAAAAAACGTCATGGTAGATCCTCCATTGAGGGTTCCGTATTGCACGTGATTTTGTGCGGCGAGGTCCGCAGCGCTTTGAATGGGCAGCACAGTTCTTTCCACGGTGAGGAACGCTGCCAAGTTGGCCGTGTAGGAAGAAAGGATGATTAGCGTGAAGAACCACCAAATTCCTCCCACTATACGCGTGGAGGTCGCCTGGGAAATATGATGACATTTGAAACTGCAATTGCATTGGAGCGTGATTGATTAGCTATAAAACTTAAAATTACAGCCTATATATGTCGCACTACTGGGCACGGGCCTCCTCTCATTACTGATAGGGCTTTAGGACAAGGAAATGTCCACCGCACTGGCCCAGCGCGTGTAGGCGAACTTCACATGTCTTCGAAATATTTTTTTCTTATTTCTCAGACATGTTTCCTCACGACGTTTTCCTTCACCTTCGATCACGTGGTAAATCAGCCCTTAAAATTGCAAGTAACAATTTAATTAGTGCCGGCGGGGATCGAACCCGGGTTGCTCGCATACTGTGAAGTTTACAGCGAGCACTTAGCCCCAAGCTACCACGGCTTTCCATCTGGATTAGCTATATAAACTATAGAAAAATCTTTATTCCGATACTGAATCGGGTCGCTACGTCCGGAATGACGTCATAGCGGCCAACCTGAAGATCGACACCATACAGGAATTTGTGGCCCGGTTGGCGCGCGGACTGTTCGACCGTGCAGACAACGGGCCGCATATACACCTTAACAACTTTGCGCCGCTACACACTCGCCCTCCGGACGGGCGACCCTATCCAAGAGAACTCCTCTCTATATCGATTAGAGAGTCGAGTAACAACCCTCAATGCCGCTGAAAGGCCAACCCCGACCTCATTAGATAACCTCCTTTTTTCGTAGTCATAACCGACTACGAAAAAATTACCGATAGCGACAATCGTTTTGACACCTACAACGCCATTAGAAGGCTCCCAGGACCGGTCCATATTAGTGGACCGCGAGGACAGCACGGGTAATGGGGGCTTACCCCGAGGCCCGAAACCTCCATGTGCCAAAAAGACACATGAAGAAGACATCAACGATACTGAATACGGCACACTTGATATGGTATTAATATTTTAGATATAGCTTGGGTTTTATTATTATGGTATTATATTAGTTCGCAGTTGTATCGCTTCGAAGTATTCATTTGAATCACCTATTAAACTCTGACTCGGATCACGGTCTATACCGGCCTTATATAGGGTCTCAGATAGTTCCAGAACCTTTTATTGTAGAAACAACTAGAATGTTCGAGTATATACCGGTCCTGACTGACTAGGTGTCGATAGTTCCAGAAAGGTCTTCCATGAAAATTTCTAGAAGGATTTTGACTCTTTTGGTACAGGATAGGGGGAGCTGATGCTAGTGGTTGCTGTGGCCCATAGACATCTACATCTACCCTTGATTACGAATCAAAATGCAGATGCGTTATCAACCGTGAAGACTAAAATGGATTGCCTCGTTTCCAGTAAAAAGGACCTCCGGTTCTCTACACTCGCTATACAAAACACAGCAGCATTAAGCTACTATTTTACGCTGGTATTCTGTGAGAGCGTGGTCCTTCCCCGGTCGAGCCGACCCATTTGTACTACAATTATACTACTAATATAACTGCAGCGTGGCTCTACCACGTATAAACTCTCCTAGTTCTGCTACTCGATACTAGAAGGCGCTAGTGGTAACCAGTGTCATCATGTAAAAACACCTATTTTTGAATTTCGTGCTAGGATGTGCTAATTATTGTGTGTTCCGGTCTAAAGAACCAGTATAATTACAGGTAGGGAGGCATTCTATCCTAGTTTTCAGAGGTATGACGTATCCGTAGCTTTCTTTGTTTGAAGTCGGACGCAGGGGTCAATGGACCGAAGTATGAGACGGATTGTGTTTGTTCGTCGCTTAGAAACAAAGACAGTTTTATTAAAAGCAGGAAGATTACTTATTTTTCGAACAGAACTTAGTATTATTTAGTATGGGCGGAGATACGTACCTCACCTGAATATTAATGTTAAATCAAAGACCAAACATTTATAAATATTCATGTATCAATTTTTTGAAGACTGTCTTATTCCATATTCTATAGACTTCAGATAAGGAGATCCAGAGATTCCTATCCTCTTAAACAGTCTAGCAACAATTGGTGAAACGTTGAAGTGCTAGTACTCACCATTGGATTGAGTCCAGACCCCTGCCTCAGAAAGGTGCCAGTAATGAACCAAAACGAATTGCACACGTTAAACTGATTCGTGAGGAGTTTCGTTTCGTGCCCACACCCGTGAGTGCTTGAAGACCTGGAAGGAAAGGCAAAGGTTGGAGTACCATGTAAATAAAAAAAAAATAATCACGTTTTCATGTCGGCTGTAATTAAGGTTGCCATCTTTTTTTAAACAAATGTAGTATTTTTCCCCAAAAAGATGGAAATAGTACTATATCTTTTAAGAAATTCAGGAGAAACAACGTACAAAACTGTTTTTAATCTTTATGTATTTGTTCGTATATATTTCTTATTGGTCTTTGCTTTGTTCGGCAATTATCTATTACCTTTCAAATAATTATAGAACTATGAGCAATTTAGATTCATAATAAAATAAATCAATAATTAATATATGCTCTATTTCTTTATTCTTTCAATTTTACATTCACTACAATAAGATTCTTACCGTGCCATAAAAACCTTAAATATAATAGTTATAAAAAAATATTGTAAAACTTAATTTATAATTGGTTGCTTCACTATAGGTTGTATGTATTGTATTACTTTTAACTGCTTAGTACTTAATGTTTAATTATAAATACCATTTAGTTATTTTTCTTTAATTTTTATACATATTGGGTGCGTTTGGCAGAAAAAGGGGTAACAAGCGCTTGTAAGCAAAATGGAGATCGTAAGCGGCAAGCGCTGTCAAATGGTAAGTAGCTATTTTCCTCTAGGACACGAAGTTAGTTTTAACCGGGGAACCTAACCTAATTTAAATATATGTTTGTAAAGTATTCATATTAAAAACTTATCAATCATGAATTTTTAATTACATGTAAGTATAATATTTTTTTTTCATGTCATTATATTATTGAAACTATATAATTTCACAAACAACTTATAAACTCTGCTTTATAACAAACAAAACAAAAAGCAAAAGACGGATTTTGTCAGCGCTACTGAAGTTAGCAAACGTGTCCTGGCCGAAAACTGTTTAGTTTCGCCATTTTGCTTACAAGCGCTTGCTAGCGCTTTTTTCTGCCAAACGTACCTATTGTGGCTGCAAGCTTTTAATATTTATTATATATATGTGAAAACTTCATTGGTTTTAGGATTACTTTTATATGTTTTTATAATGTATTTTTATTGTACTGTATGTTTCCCTTAAAAAGCAAATAAATAAAAAGTAAAACTTACATGTTCCAGACTTCCAATCACAGTTAATATAAAAAAGGGCGATAGTAGTGAATTAGGGATAAAAGTATAATAGTTTTCTTACTATATTATTTTTCTATAATATAAAGTACAATTGACTACAATATAGTACTATATTATATATTATAGTACGGGTAGCAACCCTAGCTGTAACTTAGTTTTTTTTTAAAGATACCTATTTTGAGCCAGTGTCTGGCTTCTATCCCACCTAATAGTAAGTAGTAACGAAGCTTACTGTTAGTTTTAGGTTTTCATTAATAATTGTAGCCCATCGTCAGTTGGGGCTCAGTACATTGACGCAGCTTGTGTGTCAATGTACGTGGTAGAGCCACGCTGCAGCTATATTATGGTTGTAGCACGAATGGGTCGGCTCGACCGAGGTAGGACCACGCTCTCACCGAACACCAGCGAAAAATAGCAACTTGATACTGCTGTGTTTCGTATGGTGAGTGTAGAGAACTCTTTGTAATGGAAACGAGGCATTCCATCTTAGTCTTCAGAGGTGACAACGCATTTGCGTTTTAATTCTTAGTCGAGGATAAATGTATATATGTATAAATGATATCTACGATCACAGCATCCACTTATTACCAGGTGGGCTGTGTGCTCGTTTATCATCATTATTATATTTAAATAAAATCCTTACCATTCATACGGTGAAAATCTCGCCATTACAAACAGAGTGAACGACACGAGAATGTACGCTGCTAGAACGTAAAGCCAAATCTCGATGGCCAGTGGGTTCAGAAAGCTGAATAGCCTTGTAGGTTGTGACGTTGGTACCTGAAAAAATTAAAACACAAGTGAGGGAATATAATCGTCCGACGAAATATAACAAAAGTCGTTATTTGTCTTCTTCTAAGGCTCAATATATATTGCCGCGGAACGATATGGAAGTGAATTTTTGCAACGAAATGGTACATAGTAAAATGAGTTTTAAGTTAATTTTATAACGTGCAAATTAATTAAACCCAAAAATGAAGTCGCGGATCTTTCGGAAAATTCTAGCGTATTCTCGAGAATTTCCTTAGCTACGGCGTTGGAACCATCTGTTAAATCCGTGGGAAGTGGTGCGAAGGGTGATTCATTTCTCCCATAAATCATGAATCCAAATACCTCTTTCCTTTTGCTGATATTCATTCATCCCTTTTCTCATTATTTTTTCTGCCTCACAAATAAGCAATATGAAAAAAATATCTAAGTCAACCATTCTTGTCAAATAAAAGATCTAAACTAAATAATTGAATGTACTCTAAAGCTTCAAGGCGCAGTCGCTAGGATTCTTGAGCATTATCATGAATTCGCGCGCCTTCTTACGTGGCGAGGTCATATTGATGCTTTCGTTCCATTCCATTTCGCCGCAATGCAAATTGAGCCTTATGTATATGTAAATATACATCTGTTAATTGGACAAGAGATAAAGTGGGAGAAAAGTCGCCGTGTAGTTGTGGCGTAAGAATACCCATATGTCATGCTATCCCATGGGTGTCGCAAAGGGTGATGGAGGGAAATGAAACAGGAGATGTAAGGAAGCATGAAAGAGTAGATGTGCAGCAACGGATGGCTCCGTGGCGCAGAGGCTTAACTAATTAAATAAAAAAAATATTTATAATTAAACTTCAATCATGTTATCTGTGAAATCAACAATATACTCGTATTTTGTAATACATAATAAAATGTTACTAATATTAATGTATAATCGGAATAAGTGATAAAACTCTATTAATCCATTGGAAGCAAATCGGGAAAGTAAAAAAAACTTGAACGATGGCTACCTCATGAATTGAGAGAATCGAACTTGCAAACACGCGTCGACTGCTGTGTTACTTTGCTCATCCGAGACAAAAATGAGAGGATTTTAAATCGAATCATTACTTGTGATGAAAATTGGATACTCTACGATAATCGTAAGCGCTCGTCGCAATGGCTGAACCCTGGAGACCCAGGCAAATCCTGCCCTAAGTTAAAATTGACTCAGAAAAAGTTACTTGTGAGTGTTTGGTGGACTACCGCTGGTGTCGTTCACTTCTTTTTCGTTTTCTAAAATGTGGTCAAACGATTGCGGCAGATATTTATGGTTAGCAACTGCAAAGCGTGAAGGAAAAACTAGCTGCTAAGCAACCGATATTGGCCAATCGCTCTAGGCCACTGCTGCTTCACGACAACGCAGGACCACACTCTGCATAACAAACAACCACTAAGTTAGATGAGCTACAATTGGGATGTCTGCGACATCCACCGTACTCCCCGGACCTTGCTCCCACAGATTTGTTCGCGACGGCCTAACAACGTTAAGAAACGAAGTGATAAAGAATATTGTTTTATGTATTAAAAATGAAATTACCAAGAAAACTGAGTGAAAACGTGTATTAATATAGTTATTTAGCATATTTATAACTCTCAATATGTTTGTATAGAATGTCGTTTTGATAACAAGTAATATAAACAACTTTTATTATATACCAAAAAATCGACCAATCACAGCGCGTCTTATCGTGGAACTCTCTAGAAGTTTTTTAATTAACTGCGTAATAGATCATACTAAAAATAATGAAAATAATTTTATGTCCTAAAAGAGTTATAAATATGACATTGAATTAGCATATGGCTTATAGATTAAAGAAGTATAGGAATATTTTTGTATAATTAAACGCATTTCGTATTTATAGAAAAATTAAAGAATTAAAATGCCCAAATATTATGAAAATTTGGGACATTTCGTTTAATAACTTTTTACAATGTTAATGTTTTTATTAACCTTTATGATATACTAATAAAGTACCAGACTACCGATTTAATGATGTATAGCATGTTAGTGTAGCAATTAGTATTGTATAGAAAATATTGCAATGTATGCCATTTGTATAGTGAAAAGTTTATGCAATAAAGAGGCAAATGGAAAATGGCAAGCGGCTCACTGCAAAGTATTGCTCAAGTCTACCTTAGGGGCTCGGGGCCCAGTATCAGTAGTAGTGTGAAGAACTACCAGTGACAAGTGAAGTGAAGTGAGTGGTATCCGGTGGTAGCTGAAGTGACTAGTAGCAGTATATAGTGAATAGTGAAAGTGTTAGCTAGGCGAAAAAGGTCGTAACCGACATCGCAGTTACACATAGTGAAAGTGTTAGCTAGCCGAAAAAGGTCGTAACTGATATTCGCAGTTAAACATAGTGATAGTGTTAGCAAGCCTAAAAAGGTCGTAACTGACATTCGCAGTTACATAGTGAAAGTGTTAGCTAGCCTAAAAAGGTCGTAACTGATATTCGCAGTTACATATAGTGAAAGTGGTAACTGATATCCGCAGTTACACAAGTGATAAAATCAACTAGTTTAGTTGATAATAGCTGCTAGTCAGTAGTGTTAGAAAACCAGCTACTACCAATAGATATTTGATACCACCGTACAATTTAAAGAAATCTTTTGAAATATACAGTGAACAACCGTAGTTTAACAACCGTGATAAATAGTTATAAAATTTCGCGACTAATCAATCAGTCGAACCGCTGGCCACTACCTTGCTATTTGTATTTGTTAATCGTGCATTTTGATTTTAACCACAGTCCACAATATTTCAGCGGCAACAACAAAGACGGCGGTGAGAGTACCCACCGGAACCTATAGGTGTAGGACGTGAGCGACTCGCGAAGTATCTTCGACAACATTTACTCCGGAGAGTTTCGCCCGTCCGGCACATTCGTTGGTCCTTCGAGCCGGATATATCCGTTTGTATTTCGGAACCGGGTAAATAGTCACCACCGTATTAAAACCGCAGAATTTTCAGATTCAAGATGCCGATCACCCGTTCGCAAGGAAGGGCAGCCAAGGCGTGGACCGTCGGTCTGGAAGGAGGTTCGTCGGCCAGTAACGCCGCCGTCCACCACCAGATGCCACCACGCTCACCGTCAACGATAGAGGGCGCTGAGGCGCCATGCTGCCCCCCCGAGGGGGGGATACCCCTGCCCGCGCCGTCCACTACGGCCCGCACAACGAAGCAGAGGGAACATCTAGAAGGCAACGATGACTTTAGCCGTGCATCATCGCCACCAGCCAGGGAAGACACCCACTCCGAAGAGCCACCGAGGGGCCACACCGTTTGCAGTACGAAGTCTAAGAAGACTGTTCGGCCCAATAGAAGAATTTTGAAGGCTCGTGAAGAAGTATTGAAGATCAAACTAGAACTTGCGCAGATCTCCTTACAGATGGCGGAAGAAGAGGACGAATCAGATGACTATGATGAAGATAGTCACTCCAAAAGTGAGTACGTTCGATCTTGGCTCGAAAACTCTGTAGCCAAACAAAATTCAAATCAAGGCGCAATCACCGGAGGGAAGGCACCATTTAATATAACCGTCACAAAGCCGACCCCGGACGTTGTCGACCTCAGTGAGCCCCAAAAGGAGCTCACGAACCAGGATTCCTATCCAGAAGATGCACAAAAGCATCCCATGCCACAGAAGCTCAGCCAGGAACCCACCGTTGATGAAGACAGGGGGCTCCTACCGATTGTATCAGAGCTCACAAACCAGGATTCCTATCCAGAAGATGTACAAAAGGATCCCAATCCAAAGAAACCTAGCCAGGAACCTGTCATAAGTGAAGACAGGGGGCTCCGTCCGTTTATATCGGAGCTCACATCCGCTATAGCCGCGCTCGCTGACAAACCAAAGTTAGAGAGTGCGCCACTATCGTCGCATACTTTCGCAGCGTCGAAAGCTATAATGACACTGCCAAGCTTTAGCGGAGCACATACCGAGTGGCTTTCATTCCGTGCCATTTACGAAACAACCCGAGGCTACTTCAATGACATTGAAAACACTGCTAGACTAAGACGAAGTCTACAAGGAAGAGCCTTGGAAACAGTCAGCTCAGAACTCATCGGGCATGCTAAGCCAGATGAGATTATGCGAGAACTGGAGCTACAATTTGGGCGTCCAGATTCAATCGCGCAAGCAGAAACCGAGAAGTTACGAGGATTAGCACGCTGTACAGAAGCGCCCAGAGACATCTGCACATTCGCGAGCAAAGTGAGGGGAAGCGTCGTCACTCTTAGAGCCCTAAAGCGAGATCATTACCTCGTCAACGCAGAGCTGCTACGACACCTCACCGACAAACTGCCGAACTCTATACGTGCCCAGTGGTATAGAATATACACCGAAAAATATGATTCTAGACCAGACCTCGGCTGCTTCAGCGAGTTTATTACCGAGCGAGCTCGCTTCTGCAGTGCATTTGCGCCTCCAGAAATTATAAATGAAGCACAAAGCAATCGTACAGTACATAGAGCACACGCGGCTACTACTAAGCCGTCTCCGAAATGCAGAGTGTGCGAAAAGGAGGGTCACTACGGATCTGAATGTAAAAAATTTAAGGAAGCAGATACCAACAAAAGATGGGAACTCGCAAAGCAAAACGATTTATGTTTCCGCTGTTTACGTTACCGAAATCAGACACACAAATGCAAAACCAATAAGTGTGGAATAAAAGGATGCACCGCGACACACAATCGACTTCTCCATCACAATACAAAGGAGAAGACTGAGGTCAAACAAAAAGAACCTCAAGAAACTGTTGCTAACTCATTCGCTGTGTCAAAGCATCAATCCTATTTAAAAATAATTCCAGTGCGAGTAATTGGACCGGCGGGAGCTGTAAACACACACGCCCTGCTGGATGATGGGTCAACAGTTTCACTAATGGATGAAGAGATCGCCAAACAAATTGGAGCTACAGGGCGGTTGGACCCGTTTAAGATCACCGCTATCGGGAACACTACCCTCGATTCACCGAAATCTCGAAGAATCAAAGTATCGCTGAAGAGTCTCCACAGCAAAAGGGTGCCATTCAGAGCACGCACGGTTGAAAGCCTAAACTTGGGGCCACAGACTGTGCGTGCAGTAGACATAGCTAAGTGCAAGCACTTGAAAGACCTAAAGGAGCAGCTAACATATGACTCCGGCAACCCAAGGATCCTAATAGGACAGGACAATTGGAGACTTCTGATAGCCACTAAAATCCGAAGAGGTCCGCCGCACCAGCCAATTGCCTCGCTCACAGAATTAGGATGGGTGCTACATGGGGCACACACTAAAGCCCTGTATCAGCGCGTCCACGCGGCCAATGAGCTGCACAAGAGCGAGGTTATTATAGATGACCAACTCCGCGAATATTTCGCGCTGGAATCTCTCATTATCAATCCGAGAAGACCAAACTCCGACCCAGAGAAGAAAGCTGAAGATATACTAAATAGCAGCACCCGTCAGTTACAAGACGGGCACATAGAAACAGCGCTTCTCTGGAAGAAAAAGGATATCGAGATGCCTGGTAATTACGAAACAGCATTAAAACGGCTCGTTTCCATTGAAAGAAAATTAGATCGAGACGAAGATCTAAAAAGAAAGTATGATGAACAAAGAATTCCCTAGTACAAAAGGGATACGCCGAGATAGCACCGAAAACTAGCACACCGGGAAGAACATGGTACCTACCCCATTTCGACGTCCATAACCCAATGAAGCCAGAGAAGTTTCGAATAGTACACGATGCCGCAGCCAAAACAAAGGGGGTGTCATTGAACGACTTCCTGCTCACGGGTCCAGACCTACTGCAATCACTACCAGGGGTCATGATGCGTTTTCGCCGCCATAAAGTCGCTGTCTCCGCGGACATAGCCGAAATGTTCATGCAGGTTAAAGTCAGACCCGAAGACAGAGATGCCTTAAGATATCTCTGGAGAGGGGATCGACGTAATGAAGCTCCACAGGAATATAGAATGACGTCGATCATTTTCGGTGCAGCCAGTTCACCCTGCACAGCCATATTCGCGAAAAACTGGAACGCTAAAAAACACAAAGACAAGTATCCAGAAGCTGTAGAAGCTATCATTCAAAACCACTATATGGATGACTATCTCGACAGTTTCCAGTCTCTGGAAGAGGCAATGCGAATATCGAAGGAAGTACGCGACATACACAAAAACGCGCACTTCACCTTAAGAAAATGGGTTTCCAACGCACCAGAAGTTGTAAAAGAATTAGAACCTGACCATGAAGCATCTGAGTCAGTCGATCTGGGAAACAAAGGAACCGAGGAAAAGATACTCGGATTAATTTGGAAACCGGGTACCGATCAGCTGAGCTTCAACCTAAAGCTCGCTCGACTTCCAGTCAATTTGCTGCATGAAACACCGACCAAAAGAGAACGTCTCATACGATGCGTGAAGACGGCACTATACACCGTCCTTCATGAGAGACATCCGCATGAGGAAGTATTAGCCACGCTGCTCTGCGAGGTGGAGTACACAGTAAATAGCAGACCATTGACTCACATCTCTGTAGACAGCAATGACGACGAAGCCATCACTCCAAATCACTTCCTTTTAGGAGGATCTGCGAGACTGCCGACACCTGGAGTATTTGATGAAAAAGATATGAATAGCCAAAGACACTGGCGACGCTCCCAGATACTCGCTGACATGTTCTGGCAGCGTTGGGTCCGAGAGTATTTACCGGAACTTCAAAACCGGCGGGAGGCCCATGGGCGAGGTCCCAATCTCCAGGTGGGCGATCCAGTCCTCATAGCTGACGGCCAGTTACCTCGTAACACCTGGCCACGAGGGAGGGTGGAAGCTGTTTACCCCGGTGCGGACGGACAGATCCGCACTGTGGAGGTACGCACAGCAAACGGCCTAATCAAGAGGCCAACCAGGAAACTCGTGCCGCTGCCGAAGTAGAAGCAACGTCGCTCACCGAAATGGATGCAGCGCCGCTGTGAGAAAATCGTCGCGACGCTGCACGGCGGGAGAAATGTTCGCGACGGCCTAACAACGTTAAGAAACGAAGTGATAAAGAATATTGTTTTATGTATTAAAAATGAAATTACCAAGAAAACTGAGTGAAAACGTGTATTAATATAGTTATTTAGCATATTTATAACTCTCAATATGTTTGTATAGAATGTCGTTTTGATAACAAGTAATATAAACAACTTTTATTATATACCAAAAAATCGACCAATCACAGCGCGTCTTATCGTGGAACTCTCTAGAAGTTTTTTAATTAACTGCGTAATAGATCATACTAAAAATAATGAAAATAATTTTATGTCCTAAAAGAGTTATAAATATGACATTGAATTAGCATATGGCTTATAGATGAAAGAAGTATAGGAATATTTTTGTATAATTAAACGCATTTCGTATTTATAGAAAAATTAAAGAATTAAAATGCCCAAATATTATGAAAATTTGGGACATTTCGTTTAATAACTTTTTACAATGTTAATGTTTTTATTAACCTTTATGATATACTAATAAAGTACCAGACTACCGATTTAATGATGTATAGCATGTTAGTGTAGCAATTAGTATTGTATAGAAAATATTGCAATGTATGCCATTTGTATAGTGAAAAGTTTATGCAATAAAGAGGCAAATGGAAAATGGCAAGCGGCTCACTGCAAAGTATTGCTCAAGTCTACCTTAGGGGCTCGGGGCCCAGTATCAGTAGTAGTGTGAAGAACTACCAGTGACTAGTGAAGTGAAGTGAGTGGTATCCGGTGGTAGCTGAAGTGACTAGTAGCAGTATATAGTGAATAGTGAAAGTGTTAGCTAGGCGAAAAAGGTCGTAACCGACATCGCAGTTACACATAGTGAAAGTGTTAGCTAGCCGAAAAAGGTCGTAACTGATATTCGCAGTTACATATAGTGATAGTGTTAGCTAGCCTAAAAAAGGTCGTAACTGACATTCGCAGTTACATAGTGAAAGTGTTAGCTAGCCTAAAAAAGGTCGTAACTGATATTCGCAGTTACATATAGTGAAAGTGGTAACTGATATCCGCAGTTACACAAGTGATAAAATCAACTAGTTTAGTTGATAATAGCTGCTAGTCAGTAGTGTTAGAAAACCAGCTACTACCAATAGATATTTGATACCACCGTACAATTTAAAGAAATCTTTTGAAATATACAGTGAACAACCGTAGTTTAACAACCGTGATAAATAGTTATAAAATTTCGCGACTAATCAATCAGTCGAACCGCTGGCCACTACCTTGCTATTTGTATTTGTTAATCGTGCATTTTGATTTTAACCACAGTCCACAATATTTCAGCGGCACCAACAAAGACGGCGGTGAAAGTACCCACCGGAACCTATAGGTGTAGGACGTGAGCGACTCGCGAAGTATCTTCGACAACATTTACTCCGGAGAGTTTCGCCCGTCCGGCACAAGATTACCATTTTTTCCGGAATTTGGACAACTTCTTACAAGGAAATAAATTAAATTCCGATGCGGCAGTCCAAACCGCCTTCAAAGAGTTTATTGATACTCGCCCCCATGGTTTTTTTTTAGTAAAGGGATCAATTAGCTACCTATGAGATGGCAAAAGTGCATAGATTACAACGGTGCGCACTTTGATTAATAAAATATATTTTACAAAAAAAATTACTTTATATTCCTCCCGTACAAAACGCCAATTACATGTGTAAAGGCCGATGTACGACGACATATTAAATATATAAATACTATATATGTTACACACACACACACATATATATATATATATATATATATATATATATATATATATATATATATATATATATATATATATATATATATATATATATATATATATATATATATATATATATATATATATATATATATATATAACCACCAACGTGCGGCTAAGATAATACGTTTACCTTAAACAAAATTCCAATGCCTAGGTTCATAAAGGGCTTAGTGAAATCGATGACAGCTTCGCGAGCGTAGTTTATCGTCATTGATGCCACAGCGATGTCAGCTTTCTAGAAGAACGAAGAAGAAAGCCTATTATGCTAAGAACACATGGAGCGATGTTTTCCCACGCACGCAGCAGTAACGAAATTATATTTTAAAAGTCACGAGATGGCAGTTTTATGTGAACTCGTGCGTGACGCAAAGGTGATGACGAAGATATAGTCGAAAGTCAAGCGGCACAAAACGATAGATTACCGGTAAAGTTCTAGGCCCTGTCAGGTCAAGCACTCGCACCCCCCGTAGTTTATGAGAGCTTATGAGAGTATGCCTGTAGGCGGCCTACTTAATTTTACTAGTTGCCCACCGGTACATCGGCAGCCGCTTATAACTGATTCATCGTGAGCAACGCGCAAACGTGCACTCATTTACTTCTTATATTCTACGCGTGTTTCCGTTACGCTAACGCTGCGGACGTAGGTAAATATCGCTCTGTGAATTCTTAGCCTTATACTAAGTTTTGCTTGTGGCTCCGTCCACTAGGAACAGAATCGCGCTATCCCAGTATACCAACGTAAAATAGCAGCTTGATGCTGTTGTTTTGTATAGTGAGTGTAGTTAACCTTACCGGAAATAAGGTATTCCAGCTTAGTCCTCAGGGGTGATAATTTTTTTTCACCCGGTTTACATTTTAAGAAGTGACAAGTGCAAGTGACAAGTGAAACTGACAAATGCCAAGTGCTTAGTGCGTATTTTACTCACACTTATCACTTGTCATTATCTGTTCACACGCACTAAGCATTTGTCATTTGTCAGTTACAACCTGATGTTAAGTGATTTACTACGCAAATTCTTAAGCGGACTATAGATTGTACCGCACGTTGCTTACTTTCAAAAAATAGCAAAAATTATAAATTTCATACAATTCGATTGCACAAATTTTACACAATTTAAAGAAATAGACAAATGTTGTGTGGGACTGGGTTAAAAAAGGATATAGGCTAAATGAAGCTAATATCGATACAAATAAATAAAATTGATGATCTGATTGATGTCTGTTTGTAACGTCAAAATAACAGCTTTATGCTAAATGCATGCACAAAAAAAAACAATTTTTAAAATTTTAGTCTGTTTCTATCTCTCTGTTTCTGTCTCTCTCCGACTAATCTCCGAAATGGCTGGAAGGATTTTGACGGGACTTTCTCACAGACAGATAGCTTATGTTATAAGGAGTAACATACGCTACTTTTATTTTGGAAAAAGTATGAGGGTTTCGCGCAAGAAAATTAAAATCCTAAATTACACGCGTGAAAACTAGCCGGGTACAGCTAGTTATACTATATAATAATTACGCCAATTTTACGTATTCTATCGAATTTAATTTTCACTTTTTAATTCTCGACGTTTCATTCGTGACCATGGGTTTTTTATTTTATTTATTTTTTATTCTGAACAATACAAATTGTGTTGAATAATTCATGCAAAAAGTACAATTGAAAATATTAACTACTAAATTTACAACTATACAAAATTACAATAAAAATATGTGATTACAATAATTGGTAAACAATTAAATTATATAAAATGTCAATAACTATAAAATTACAATAAAAATTACAAGTCGAATCTCACCACTATCAATAAAATTTAAAGTTTTAAATATCACACATAAATAATAACTACATTTGTAACAAAAAAAAATTTCCATTATTTCTTAAAATGTTATCATAGGTTCAAAACACATTAAATTTTATGTAATAGCATTAGCATGTAGAAACTCGTCAACACTATTATAACATTTACCCAGTAGGAACTTTTTTAAAGTATTTTTGAAGCTACTCTTGTATAACATATTTTTTAAATCAATAGGTAATCTATTAAACAGAAGCACTGATTGATAATGAGAAGAGTGTCTAGTCATAACAATACGAGGGATGATTTTATTATGAAAGTCTTTTCTCCTGGTGTTTTCCCTTATGATTTTTTGGTCTATATTCTCATAATCGCCAATAACTTTAGCAAATTGTGTAAGTAAGACCAGTATATACAGGCATGGAACAGTCAAGATTCCAAGTCTTTTGAAATGCATGCGACGTGATTCTTGCTGTTTTATCCGGACCATGGTTCTGATTGCCCTTTTTTGCAGAACAAAGGCTTTGTGTACATTATATTTAAAGCTCCCTCCCCAGAATAAAATACTGTAACGTAGTCTTGACTCCACCAATGCGTAATAAACCAGTTTCAGATGTTTTAGATCCGCTTCATCCCGTAAGCTTCTTAGTACGTAACAAGCTGAGCTTATTTTACTTTCAATCTCGTCTAATTCATATTTCCACTTTAATTTACTGTCTATTCTGACGCCTAAGAATTTAGCCACATCTACAGATTGTACTGTTTTATCACCTAGTGTGACCTACAGAGATGTGTTATTACTGACGTTATTGCGGAATAACATCACACTTGTTTTATTAGTGTTGATCGACAAGCCGTTGACAGTAAACCATACTCTAAAGGATTCCAATATTTGGTTTAATTTAATTTCTAGTGCCGCTATTTCGGAGGCTGAGATAACAGCATTAGTGTCATCTGCAAAGAGGACTAGGTTTTTCAAATCTGTCGTTCTACGTACATAATGGTTTAAATCATTTATGAAAGCAATAAATAATACGGGTCCTAAAATGGAGCCTTGAGGTACCCACTTTAACATTAATCATTTTGGACTTCGTCACTATTTCAGACATATTATCGTTCACCGTTTTTATTTCTACGAACATTTCTGTTACTGAAATAGGATTGACATAGTTTCAGAGCCTGTCCTCGAACCCATAATAGTGCAATTTTCCCAAAAGAAGATCATGATTGATGGTATCAAACGCGGAGCTCAGATCGAGAAAGAGTGCAGCTACCTTAAATTTGTTATTTAATTTGTCAATGACATTATTGAGCAGTGTGTCTATTGCATCCTGTGTACCGATGTTGTTTTGATAACCAAATTGTCCTCTATCAATAACCTTGTTTAAGACAAGATGAGCCATCAATCTAGACTTAATTACACTTTCGAATATTTTGGAAATTGTGGGTAATAAAGATATAGGTCTGTACATCTTGGCATCCGATATCGAGCCCTTCTTGTGAACAGGTACGACTTTGGCAACTTTCAGTTGATCTGGGAAAATGCCCTCCTTTATGCATTTATTACAGAAAGAACACAATGGTTGAGCGAGAAGATCTATATTATCCTTTATTATAGTAATAGGAATATCATCAAAACCGCAAGATTTCTTGGCCTACATTTTTTGTGTGATCTTTCGTACTTCTTCTACAGATGTTGGTCTTAGTGTCATAATGTTTTCGACTCGACTTATATTACATTTAAGGTATGTTAGTGCAATCTCAATATCAACTGGAACATTATTGATACTATGATCGAACTGGTGAACAAAGGTATCAGCAATTTGAACTGGTTCGTGAATAATATTTTTGTTTACCTTTAGCATTAGTTGCGTTCGTATTTTTCCCGCTAGGTTTCTATGGCTGTTAATGAGGTTCCATACACTTTTGGATAAATTTTTGGAACGAGCGATCTCATTTTGAACTGCATATTTTTTTGTTAGTCTAATTATTTTCCTGTAAATTCTAATATATTCGTTACGGTACCTGACGATTGTTTCGTCATTATGAGATCCTTTATTTGTGCAAAGAAACCGTTTCATTTGGCTTGATACTTTTATTCCTTTGGTAATCCATCCTAAATTTGATTTCTTGTTAGTGTTTACTATTTTATTTTTATACTTGAAACAGTCATCAAATAAGGCTTTGAATTTGCTTAGAAATGTGTTTATACCCAATGAGTTCCAATCACAATTAATTAAATTCTGTCTAAAGACAGATTTATTATTTTTGGTTAAAGCTCTTTTCTTTATATAAACTATGTTATTTTTGCTTCTAGTTTTAACATTGGGGACCACAATATTGCATAATATTGCCGCGTGTCCATCTGATAATCCATTATGATCTGTGTTACAATTTATTATACTCTTGTTAGGTATGTTAGTAACAATATTGTCTATGCATGAGCTCGAATAATTCCCTATAAAAGTAGCATCAAAAATTAGTGGCATAAAATTAAAACTGGTCAAAAGATTCACAAATTCACTCTTCTTCTTATTTTCCGGTAATAAGTCTATGTTAAAGTCACCACATATAACACATTTTTTATTAAAAAAGTATTCGCACAAATTTTCTAAACTATCAATAAAGATATCAAAGTTTTTATCATTAGGGGTGCGATAAAAACAGCAAATACAAATATTAGTTTCTAAGTCCTTTACACAACATACTTCAAAGCTGTCCATTTTATATACAGATTTCGCTATAGGCAGATCTATTATATCTCTATCTTTGCTACATAGTATGAGTGTTCCACCCCTTTTTTTATTGACTCTTGTACTATATGATACTATTTTGTAATCAGTTAACGCTAATAACTCCACTAATTTTTCATTCAGAAAATGTTCACTGATACATAGATAATGATATTTTACTGTAAGGGAATTTATATCGTCATAGTCGTAGAATAGTGACGGATCTGACAATTATTAAACTTTACAAGGCAGCCATTTCAAATAATTATGTTAGACTTTTTGACATAACTTTTTTAATTCTAAATCTGTAATTATGAAAATTGGCATATCAGTTTAAAATGGGGTTTATTTTAAACTGGAATAAAAACAATAACTTTTAATTATACAGTTTTCCTGAAAAATCATATGCTTCATTTTACTTAGGAGTCAAGACAGTCACATAGTATTATCCGACATTTTTCTTCGGAAAGTTACTGTTCAAACAATGACGGATGTTACTTTCCAGTCTTGTTCTACTGACTTAGCGAATAATATTTTGGCGGATGTGTTATCTGTTATATTCTAGTTTGACCATGAGTAAGAAGGTAGGCAGGTGTTCGATAAGTAAATAGTACAGTAAGTAAGTAGGTTGGGGTAGGGGTAGGGTATCTTATAAATAAAACAGACTATTTGGTCTAGTCTTTATACTGAATTTGTATTAAGAAATTATAAACAACATTATTTTGTACTACATAGATTAAGAAGACTATAATGTTGAAGCTATTTGGACCTGATTTCTTCCTTTTTGGTAAATTACTAATCTAAAACTTAAACACTAACCATTTTTTAACCAAGTTATATTATCACAATCATTTTATAAGTAGATAGAGTAGTAAAAACGTTAATTAAATGAATAAATCCTTAAAATTCACAACTTCAGAGATCAAAACAGTAAAAATTAAGTAACTAAGATTATTAAACACAATTCTTTAGCACAATTATTCAATCAGATTCATTGTTATTATCAGAAACATTACGCCCATGAGGTAAACTTCTGAAATAGTTATGATATTATTGAAAAATCGCAAAGGCTAATAAGATCCTTATATTTATCATTACTGATTGGAATTGGCCCCACGTAAGCTTTATGAAGATTGGATTATTGTATTGTCTAGTCTCCTTTCGAAGTACCAGGGTCATGTAGTCATCAGATAAAGCATATTTGTACCGGATTTTACTGCTCTGAGTTCCATCGACACAAACTTCTTTTATGCTTGTCCAAGTAACTTTGTTGTTAACTGTATTTTTTACCCAGTTTTTATTTTTAGCTGATCTTTAAAGTCAAACACTAAAGACTGATTTACGTCTATGACTTCATAAGAATCACCTGTTACTTTAGCCCAACGTACATGTAATTTCCATTCATCTGGTGTATAAATTGTTTTATGCTCAGCAGCCATTTCTATCACACTGTGGACAGAATCCCCCTCGTTTTGGGTGTGGCCTTTTTCAAAGAATCTGTGTGTTATAGTTATATCATATTCTTTAGCTACATGAGCATACATAAAAAATACTATGCGATTTCGATTCTGGCCAGCGCAATTGTCTGACCAGAATCGAAACTCTTTCACACCTTTTGATACAAACTTCTTTATGAAGTCATAAACGCAACTGGCTACTTCGTTGGCCCCACGTTTGGCAACACTTTCATCCCACGTATAGCAATAACCTTGTTTGCCGATCATATTGCATATGGTGAAATTATAACATGACAGCTTTCGCTTGTAATACACCCATATGCCCGTGAGGACATGACAAAACCTTCTGAAAATCAAAGGTAGCATAAACTATGCGTCCATTAGAATTAACAGCGTCATTTTTATCATTCTGTTTCAAGATCCTAGACACTTTTTTGCTATTTAAATGGTTTGCATACTGTTCTTTAAGTTCATCAGGCGGATTTTGTGTTAGTTTAAAACTATGGCACTGATCACAAGTATCCTTTTTGGGTAGATGAAAACTCAAATTAAAATTGTAACTATGTCTCTGTACTGTCTAAGACTGGAAGTTGTATTTGAATAATAGTTAAGTTCAGGCCAATCTTTGTATAAATTGAACATCCTAGCGATGCTCAAGTCACCATCTAAATACAGTCGTTTGGACGCTGCTCTGCTATAATGAGATTTTACAGGTACAAATGAATTAACGTGGGCACAAACCGACTTTACCATTTCATCGTCAACAACCCGATTATGATTTTTATGTTTCCCCCCTCATGTCTTTTTCTATTAAAGTGCTTCCGTCACATTTATTCCAAGCTGTCCGAACTAACCTTTCGCTAATCGAATACGTACTTAAAAACATGGTTTTACAAACCTCTGTTTTTGATGAGCCCTTTGGCAAAAAATAATTGTAAGTAAATTGACGGTTATGCTTTAAATCTCTTTGAAGGCCCCTCTTCTTCTTCTGTTTTGTAGTATAATTCGCAACATACAACCATTGTTTCTCACGATCACCTAACTTCCAAAACTTTTCAAGTGCATCCTGTCTTTCTTCGAGAGTCAACATAGTGTAACATTTATATCTACACGTGCAAGGCCTACCTATAGTTTTTGCTTGAACAATAACGCCCTTTTTGGAGATGTATTCTTTTCCTGCATTTGCTAAGCGTTTTCTTTTAATTTCTTCCCAATCGTCATAATTTCGGACACGTTTTTTACCTCTACATCGAATAAGAGGCGCTGGAGACAACTGGTATGAAGACACAGCTGTGCTTGTTTGATTGACAGTTGCTATGTCTGCACCATCGTGAGTGGAACAAAAAAAAGTCATTACATACCTCACCATGAGTTTTTACTGGTGATGGCTTAGGTGTTTGTCCATGTCCATTGTTGTCAACAGTCGGGGTAATCGGTTGCGGAAAAGGTGACAGGTCTGATATCAGGGTAGAAGTATTTAAAGGGGTTAGATCTGAGGTGATATTTAAGAGGGACACGACACCATGCTGATTTTCTGACGCGAGTAAATATGATGAGGATGCATTTTCATACACGGCCATAAAAGGATCTTCTTCAAGAACACAAGTAGATGATGGTATGTTCGGGTCCATATTTTCATTTGTTGATTTTATGATTTCGCTTGTTCCGTGTACGTCATCTAAAAAGACATCTTCACAAATGTCGTTCATCTCTTCTATTACGTTGCGTGCTCCTGGAGGTAATAGCGAACGGCATTCTGAAAAGATATCAGTATATGTAAAAATAAATAGATTATTAATATCACAGGTTAACATTTACTAAAAATGGTAAGACTATTCATAATAAAAAGATTTGAAAGTATAAAAAAGTACTTCTTTTTATTTATACAGGTAAATTTTTACTCAAATCCGATTATTTTTTAAAGAAAAATATATTAAATATATACAAATATTCATAGTTTTTCAACAGAAAAATGGCGGAAATGAATTTAGTTCAAAGAAAAAAGTGGGATAATCGGATACGACCGTTAGGCAAAAAAGCGTGTCCACAAAATACCGGCGTTTGTAACCACGCGTCACTATCATGTCCATAGAAAAATGTAATATAGTCACATACAACTTGAAAATTTAAATTCTCAAATATAACAAAAACTCAACATAATAATTGTAGTAATATCAGCGAGCAAATATTATTTTTATAAAAATTACATTTTATATTGATTTATATTTTCCGTAGAAAACCGACGGATACTCAGAACCGACGCTTTACTTATTTACTTTGCAAAATATGTGTAAATACAAGAATTAAGTAATACTATAATATTAATACATAATTCATTAACTTACCTGGAGTCCCTGGTATGCAGTCCTCCTCATCCATGCGCTCATCATGAGTAAAACCCGTACTTTTCGAATTTTTGCTTGTTTCTTCCACAAGTTTTAACATAAGCTTTGATCGTCCTGTTTTCATTGTGGCACACCTTTTAATATAATATGTAAAAAAACTAGGCACGCAATAGCTAACAAACAGGCAAATAAAGTAAAACTAGTGCAATTGTTTAAGAAAAATTTAATCCGCTGCAACGCGTGAGCGAGTTCGACGAAAAGTGACGATTGCGCGGATTCGTCGGCAGTGGGAGAGGATGGCGGGAGATGCTCGCGCGTCGAATAATGACGAGTATATACAAACGTCATTTTACTATGAGTACCTATCAAATCCGTCTATTTACCGACTGATTATTTTGAAATCCGAAATACATATAATTTTTTCTTTAATGTAGTAATAATATTTAGGCAATATAGTATCCAATTATGGTAAAAAGTGAATTTCGTGTTTTTTTTAGAACCGTCATTATTCTACGATCATGACGATATATAGTTCTAACTCCAGTTTTTTGTTATTTATACCACACAAATTTTGATAAAATATGTTAAGTTCCTTCTTATCTACGTTGTTTTTTCGCAATTCTAAATTAATAAAATAATAAATTCACGAAAAAAAGAATCACCAGTAGTTATTACACACTGATCATCATCCGTTCGTGTACTGACAGAGCACTTTTGGTGCTGCTGCTCATCCTGATTAGTAGCAGGATGGACCTCTAGTGATTTCAACTCAGTCATGCAGGGTAATTTAGTCACAAATTTAATATAATTATGTTTATAAGAAATTCTTAATATTTCTCTCAACAGAAGCCTAGAAATTTTGGTCAGGTTTCCTACTTGCTTATAACTAGTATCATTAAAATATAAGTTGAATGGTACATATGACGTATTTTCAAAGTGATTACAAATTGATTCAACTACATAATTTAACTTAAGTTCATTAAAGTAGTAGTTTTTTTTTAATTTCACCAACCAAAACATTTGTGTGCTTCAGTTTATGTAATTGGTAATATAAAAACGATTGTAATTTTAATAAATTGCTGTCATTACAGCCTGCTAAGATCACCAAATAGCCCGAATCAGTGAAATCTTTACAAAGCTGGTCACAAGAGCATAGTATTTGGTCAATATGTGCGTTAGATTTTAAGTACGATGTGACGAAATACTCATTTCCTAAAATTTCTTGCATTGGGTGCTGTAAAGCATCCAAAACGTCGGGGATTAAAAAGTCAAAATTAAACAAGATAAAATCCATAATATTAGTTTAATTTAATGTGTTTGGTTTACCCTCAAATCGTGCCACAAGTAACTTTACTTCAAAAATGACTAAAGTAAATTAAGATGTTACAGTACAGACAAACAAGAGTTAAGTAATCGCCCAACTACTTTCCTTTAAGTAAACTATCAGTCTCACCCTGTCCATCAGCTCCTTGACAATTCCATTCCATTGTCCCGTTTCCGGATCCCGTGCACCGTACATGTTGTCCGGGACTAAGCGCAGAGTATAATGGAACCCCGCCCTGGCCGCCACTCTGGCTAAAAGGTCGATACAGAAGCCCTCGAAGCGCGCATTACCTTGCAGGTTCCAGCCCTCTTTTACCATTACGTATGGTTTCTCCTGACAAATAAATAAAGTACATAGTTAAGGTAAAGTTACAACTTGTTTATGCCCCACTGCTTGGCACATACATGATCTAATTTCTAAAATTTTAGGAAAACTTACAGTTGTAGGTATACGATCAATTGTTTTTATGCATTTATTTACAAATTAACCATTAAAAAGTTTTCACATGTAGATTAGAAAATAAAAGGGCATAGGCAAGCAGTATGCTTTGTAAAGTTTGCGACAATACCAGGCAACAATGACTTTTATGCAGAGATTAGTCCAGCGAGCGTTGGCGGGCTTCAGATATCCTCAAACATTTTAGTCCTCATAAATAGTAGCATACTAAAGAAACAGTTTCCAGTCTTCATTCTTCGGTATTCCTATTTAGAAATGCAGGTAGTAAGTGGATGCAGGTGGCGCAATGTTGGTCATGTTAACTGCGGGGAACGGAGGAAAACTGCGGAGGCGGGAAGGGTATAGGCCCTGTGCATTCCCGCTGTGGTGCCACGTTAAGACCGCTGCATGGTACGTGGTTTCTTCCTGCTATGATTTGCCGGGATAAAAATTAGGTTTTCAAAATTGGCACTTTCGTGTCCAAAAGGGAGTAGTTTTCTTGCACGAGATAGAATGTAAATTAAATTAGGAGTTCATGATTTGAACAAAAACAGGCATCGGTTTGGCGAATATCGTAGATGGTATGATGAAATACGTCGAACCCACAAAAGTTTCGAGAAATATAATATTATTCTTACAATTTTCATGCTTACTAGACCATATTGCAGACCAAGACATTATTTTGCTAATAAACGTATTTATATTTATCATCGCGGAAAAATTAACACGATTTGATTAACACGCAAGACGCGCGAAAACATGCTATGTCCTCCGCTGGTCGCGGTCGTCTGACGCGCACGCCAGGCCAGACGCGCTAACGTGACGTGGCACCTCTCGTTCGTCTCGTATTGTTATTTATCCGCTCATCGCAGAAGCTAGACGCGTCGTGGCGTTCAGGAGTGAACTTGTGGATTGGCTTTGATGATGACAATGACATACAGGTAGCCTTAAGACGTTTTCAGCACTCAAATTTTCAATTAAAAATTTAATTGGTGCCGGCGTCAAAGGTGCTCTCGTCTGATATTACGACAGTCAAATCTCCTGCCAAAGTGACTATAAAAGCAATAGAGGAGGCCCACGTCCAGCAATAGACTTTAACGGGCTGATGAAGACGAAGAAGAATAAATAAAACTAACAGGCTTTGAACAGTTTAGTTTTTTTTTTTTAAGTAGAAAACAACTTTGTAGAATGAATTATATTCTAAACATCTGTCAATGTTACGTATTCGCTCCAAAGTCCAGCTCTTAAGTCACAGGACACTATCCCTAAGTACAGCGTCGTGAGGAGCTGAAATTGGTAACTGAACAACGATCTCATGCCGGCTGTACACGCTCATCTCGTCACCTCGCGTGCCTCTCGTCGTGTTGAGGCTCACCACGAGAAGACACCATGTACCATGTACACACTCGTTGTATGATTTGAAGTCCGTAAGCCCGCTGAGATGAACCTAGATGAAACTGTTGCTGCGTTTTGACTTTATGCTATTAGTTATTATAACTTTTGACACATTTACCATAAAAATAAAATTAATAAGCCAAGGCGAAGAAGAAGATGGTGGATGGTTTCTATTTACCGTAACTGAGCCATGTACGGTGAATACAATACAGTATGCTCTCATTTTCATCGCGAGACTCACGAGACCCTTTGACTCGAGCGCAAAAAACCAACACTCTTCCGAGAGCGCACGAGGGCCACGAGACGCGACGCGACGCGACGAAAGCACCATGTACACACCCGTACTTGGCTGTCTCGTGGTGTCTCGACGAGCGTGTACAGCCGCCATTAGGATGCTGATATTGTAATGAGGATGTACCGAATGATTACGCACTCCAGTTCGTCGTTGAGGAACGTTCATTAATTCGGAAGTGACTCACCTCGACAGTGACGACAGTAAGAGTGACATTAGGTGGTGGGTCACGGCGATATGCAGCCGGGTCGGATAACCGGAGCCCTTCCTCGGGAGACCAGCTTCCAGCCAACACGGTACCACCCCCCTCACCACCAGCTACCCGCATCAGTTGTAAGTTGAACTTAGTGCGGACCCCACGTGTGAACTCGATAGGGCCCGTCAGACCATGCGCTTGGATCTGGAAGTTTTTTTTTCAGGTTTATAAAGGTTGATATAGCCCAAGGGTTAAACATTAGTCACATAGGGTACGATGATATAAGCAACATGATTGCCTTGGTAACTGGTATTTTAACCACGTTTTTATTAATTAACTTTCATGTATGTATGTATGTCAGTCGGTGTGGAATTTAGTTATTGATTTAAAACTAACTTCCCGACGAGCTAGAGACTTGATATTTTAAACACAACTTAGAATCGGATGACAATGTAAGAATATGATACGCGGTATACCATTTTTTAATAAATATTTTTTATTAGGTATATAAGCATTTAAGGAAATTCTCAGTAGTTGCCCGGAGTCAGGAAGTTGGCGGTGTCTCACCCCCGTGCCTCGGAAACACGTATTAAAGCCGTTGGTCCTGCGTCTGATCTCCCTCTGGTCGCTTCGGTTTACCGTCCCATCGGATTATGAGAGTGAGGGAATAGAGAGTGCACCTGTGTTGGTGCATACACTTGGACACTATAATTCTATCCTGCGTCGAAGGCTAGTCTCCAATGAGGCAGGCCGCCGTGACCGAAATTCGGTCTGGAGGACATTATTATTATAATAATAAGCACTTAAGGAATGTTTATACCGCTATCTATCAGGAGCCACGCCGCCGTCAGATTTTTTTATCACCGAACGCCTAGTCATGTAATAATAAAAATATTGGTCTTATTAATTTGTAATTTGCAGAACCTTTGAAAGATGAGTACGGCTGGCAGGTGGTCAAGCATCTAAAACCTAAGAATAAGTACCGTTATCTCGGCCAAACAGGTATTTGCAGTGAAAATGAGGGAAGTTTTAAAGCAGCAGAAACGAAGGAAGCGATATTCATCACTCAGGTACACGAAGATACTACGGAAATGATATAGCAACCCCCGAAGCGGACGAAGAGTCGAAAGTACTCACGAGAGATTGTGTTACCACAGTAACACAAAAAATACATACGTATATAGTACGTAAGGGTAATATGGTCAACCAGTTTATAATTATATAGTCACTTTCTTATAACTCAAAACTTATAGCCTTCTTTGCATAGATGGCTCTGAGATACGATAGCTCTTCATCGGTCAAATAAAGGATCAAAAGGGCGCTGTTTTTCGACGCCATTTTGACACTTGAAATTATAGTGGATATTTTAGTCTAAGTATTTCATTTTTGTGTAGTGTAGTTAGTTTTTTTTTTAAGTTGACTTTTCGAAATGTTCCTAATTATTACCGAAGTTTGGTTTTTGTTTATTGTTTTTTTATATAT